TATTGCGATCGTTGTGATGGACTTTAGAGCTATCTGAATTAGCTGCAATAATATGTCGTTTGTACGAGCGGACTACGGACTAGCTTCTGGGAGGCCTAAAAGATGCGCTTAACAGTGTCCGGAAAAATTCCCGACCCCGGCTTTTCTATTTCTGGACCATTTCGGTATGCCGAACACGAACAGTAACTCCAATTACCGTGAAATCTCAAAAGATAATCCGGATCTTTTTGAAAGAGACGAGTAGTAGAAAGGCGATTTCGATTTCCGACTTTATTGCAAAACAATCTCGTGCCCTTCTCGCAAAAGAGCTGCTTTCGAGAAAAACCAAGCATTTGTGGTGCAGAGGGGGAAGGAGGAGTGGCCGGAATGACCTAACAAGAGAAGGACACTCGGTGACCGTCCTTTGAAACAAGTAATTTAATACTGAATGCAGCTTGAAACGCTGATCTCAAATCTGCTTTCCAAGTCTGCTTTTTTTCTAAGAATAATAGTTCATTCTGCTAATGAATGCCTAATGAATGCATTGAAACTCAAAAATCACTCAAAGGAAGAAGTAAACCGCAATTTGGTGATAAGACATATTCTTAACAAATAAGTCAAATGAGCTATATATCGCTTATTTAGAGTGAATCAAAGTGTTCGAGAAATAAATTATACATAATGCAAGCCATTTTCGCAAAAAGAAATTATCATCACTTCCTTCAAAGAATCGTTTAGCAGTTATGAAGGGCAGATTTTAAATCAGCATTTCGAGGCACATCTACTGATATGCCTTTTATCTTGAAAGTACACGGTGACTAGATACCCTTCCTTTATAGGAGAAGCAGGCTGACTTACATTTTCAAAGCGATTTTTTTTGCTTATCACAGCGAATTATTTGCCTGAAATTGTGTACTATACCTTAGCAAAGTTGGCTATCATTATCTGATGAGAACTCAAAAACCTTAGGCTCGGACACTGCTTTTAATAGCTTAGCTTCGATCCAAGACTAGGCAAACTAATTTATTTGACCGTCGTGCTGTATATTATATCGATGATAGAATCGTGAAGCAATCATATAAGCACTAAAAAAGAAATGAAGAGTGATCATTTTATTCTGATTACGAAGAAAGATTACTTCTTTCATCGTAATCAGAATAAAATGATCACTCTTCATCTCTTTTGCTATTCCGTTCATTTTTAATGCACTTTTTGACACAGCTCTTGTCGTCAATCGTGTCAGGTATAACTACCACTACATAGATGCTGAAATTGCTTTTTTAAAGTATGAAATATGTTTCATGTTTAGTAAATTCTTTTCGAGTTTTTTTTTCTGCATCTACTTCTAAATTGACATAATAATAGGGTTCATAATTTATTGAGAAGTCATGTGAAAACAACGGTGAAATGAAAGCTTATCATAATTGGTGTGATAACCATCTGAGCAACATCAGGTTTGATTTCAAGTGTGCGTAAAGCCTTATTAAAGTTTGCTAAATTTTTACTATGTTGAATTGCTCTTATGTCTAAGCTTTTATTTCTTTATCCCCTTTCCATTTCTCACATTCTTTTTGACGTTTCTATGAAAGAGTTGTTAACTTCTTATTTATTGTTTTGTTATTTTTATTGTTTTAACAGGAACACATTTCTAACATGAACAGAATAAATTTTCGAAATAAGATTGATTCCTCTGGTGATATCTGAAATGTGAAAACAGTCGAACAATTACTTTTGTG